TATATATGTATATATAGTTAGAAAGTGATAGCTTAGAACTGAAAAATATTTTATGCAAAGCAGCATGGAAGTGCATTCTTTCTAATAAATTATTGTTGTCTCATGAGACTATTTATTACGGTCAACACACGTGTTCTATGAAGCTTATTTCTTTTCAATATGTGCCACCTAAATTAGTCATTTAATGAGTTTTTCTCATTTGAATAAATTGATATATTATGTGGCTACAAACGACTTATACATTTTCCCTTAGCCTGAAAGAAAATAAAACTAATCTAATGAAAATAAAAATTGACCTTGAGGTAGGCGTCTTGCAGTGATATCGTGCCAAACCCGGATGAAAAGTTGAAATTGTTTTGCATAGAGTTGAGGCCAAGAGGTAACTCNAAGAGACAAACAACCAATGACTTCGAAATGAACATAGACCCAATTTTCTGCATAATCAAAGGAATTTCTTCATCAAGACATTAACCAAGAGTAGGATAAACTGATCACATGAAAGCAAGACAATAGCTGATTTCGATCTCAGCTGAGAAATCGTGCACAACCAATATGGAGGATAGTCCGGCGGGGTTAGATGCAATTCTCTCGCACAACCGTTTCGAAAATTATGACTCAGTTTCAACTACCGATGGACAAACCACTGTCTCCAGTGCACAAAAATAAAGAGGGACAAACAGAACATTGACAAAATGAAAGTAAAAATTCTGTATCATGTTTTTGACCCTTTTCTAAAGCTGAATTCAAATTACATTTTTTGACGGAGACTTCGTTATCTTACAACTGGTGCACCAGAAGCCGTCGTCGAAGTCGCGAAATTATTCGGCATTCGATCAGAAGAAGTAAAACACTAGTGGATCTAAGTACTGGTATGGTGTTTTTGATGTGAGGCAATATCACATTGGATCCCGTGAATGAGGCTTGAAACACCAAGAGTTGGGAGAAGCAAGTGTGATGAAAGTCGGATTTTGCACAAGTTTGATCAAAACTGGTAGAGATGTATATATATATTTCAAGTAGATATCAGATATATTTAGTACATATGATATATATTATATATATTAGGAGTATATAATGAACTCAAGTACAAACGAGAAGATATGAGCGGTTCAAATATGATGGACCGAAAATTGATTTCATAGTTGTTTGCTCAATGAAAAGAAAACTACTAATATAAATTCTTTACAATTAGGCTCATTATTCCAAGGATAACAATGATACTATTCACTGCATTTTTTGTATCATTTATTACAGTGCTCAATATCTGGACATGATACGGTAAAAACATCTGTGTAGGGTCCCAACACCAGCCTAGGTAAATCTGAATAAAATTTGGAGAAATAATGAATGAATAAATAAAGTTCATTTAATGTTGTACGTGCGCAATTGATTAGACTATACAACAGGAATTCCGCTAGCAGTGTTTGACTTCTGACTTGCCTGTTCAAAGTTATTATTTATGTTTCAATAAATAAAGTTTCATACAAATTGTTNCACTCACCCCGGTCATGTCTGTTTCGATTGGCGATATAGGACAGGTCAGTGGAGTGGTTATTCGTTGACCAATATTTTTAATCACCACATCCTGAATATATCCCATGGGGACAAAGTTTGCTGCCGGACCGTAAATTTCAATATTTGGAGACGATAGACCAGATTTCGTGTAGACCATTATTTTCATCACCCAGTAGCAACCCGGACATACTGCAATTGAACTTGTGGGAGTGAATCGAGCAAGGGTGATCGTGGTTGCTGTCGGTGCAGCTATAGTCTATCACGAAGAAAAAACGCAGATTTGGTTTAAAAAAATAGCGTGCTACCAACTTGGAACTTGATAACAAAGACAATTATGATTGGAAATGAAACTTACTTGTCGTTTTGAGCGCCGGAGTTTTTCTGATACCCCAAATGGTCCCATCTCGCTAAATCCGATGTCTATTTGGAATAAACTAAAGTCATTCGTCAACAAAATGATAGCAGTGTCCGTAAGCTGGTCAAATGGAGCAGGATTTTGAACCATCACAACCACGTGTTGTGGCAATTTCGGAGAGGTGTACGAAGTGTTCAGTAATACCACTCCACTATTTGGATCCACCATCAAATTAGTAGACGTGCCCGGTAGGACGAATTGCAGTCTTCCACATTCCACACTCAGATCGTCCAAATCCGTAGCATGCAGCGTCCCAACCACATTATCGACGGAGCGGGTATTGACCACAAAGTAGTAAACTTCTTGTGAAAACTGTGGTCCATTGTTGACTGTATTCAAGAAAGGAAAGGTGGACTTGTCTAAATCTGTTAGCTCTTCTAGCTTGAGAAATGACCAAATAAATATTCTCCTCATAATGATCTGTGTTCAAATGGAGATTCTGACTAAGGTCCACTGTGCAATTTCAAGTATGATAAATAGAGTTTTCTCTTTCCACAAATTGTATTGTTCACCTAAATAGGATAATACTCCCATTCACTATGAATCCCTTAGTACCATTTTGTAAATAGAAAACCCGAAATGAGGAAACGGTTTTTGATTTTCAGGGAATATATATCTACATATGTGTATAAAGAAATAATCCGTCTGATCTTTTCTTATTGAATATGACCATCACCTAAAGGAACACTGCTCCCACTGTTGCCACTGCACCAAATCACAAGTACATATTATTGTGAACACTGAAGGGTGTAAAATGACTCATCGGAGATTGTCCCCAGTCAGAAGCATACTGCATAAATAAACCACTTGAATGGCAAGTGCCTAAGCAGTATCAAAGTCACTGACTCATTACACGTTTGTGAGAACCCCTCCAAAACTCTAACTCTAATAGATGAAAGAAAGGTCAATCATTTTTATCAGTAAAAAGCAAATATTCTTCAAACGGATATCATTTGTGTACTGCATTGGGTTGAGTGAAACCTTGTCATGCTCGGGAGTTTTTCGAATCCCATAAATTTTTAAATAACACTTTGTCGAACGCGATACCATCCTTTCCAGAGTCAGAATGAAAAGGAGTTGATAAGAGGGAAAATTACCTGGAACGTTACAAGTAGGACCTCTCCAACAAGGATCACATTGGCAAACATATTCGTAACTGCATTTCCCGTGCACGCAACTGAAATAGAGCGGGGGAGAGGACCACGGCCCGAATTGAGTTACATCTAGCTGAATATAAAAGCACTGTGTAGATCAGCCCAAATTGTGTATATTTTTAAAGTCAGCGACTGAGAAGAATAAACGAAATTTTAACATCTCGCCACAGTTAGCCTCTTTCTGTCTTGATGAAATGGATAGAGGTGACTCCATGCGTCAATTTAGTGTAGACTATTGACAAATTGGCAATCTTACTCACAGTTACCTGCAAGCAGTTGTTTTTTGAATAAGTTATGTACACGGATCGTCTTTCATACTTCGTTTTCAAGCACAAACCCTTTTCCATCCGAACAATCAACCAATCGAAGACCATCGTACTCCAGCTTGGCTCTCGTTGGAACTCTTCAGTATTGTACATTTTCCGGCCCAAATCTCCAAATTACCTCCATAGAAGATGTGTACAGAAACGTAACTGGATAATTCTGATTATCCCCGGGAATAAGATGATTTCATATGTTTGAAGCAAGGCGAAGTTGAATGCAGATAAAACTATTGATGAAAATAAATGTCTTACCATTGGTCTATCAACTTTGTCTCAATGACTTCAATACCGGTTGTTAAAGATAATTTTACTACAATATCTCTTTCTCTTCCGTGGTGTATTAACCTAAACACTTATGAAGACTTTACAAGACTTTACAATTTATTTCGTATATTTTTAAAAGAATTCTGAGTTAAACTTTTATTTCGGCGCCTTTCCTGTGATCAGCTGTATAGGGAGGTAACGAATCCAGATCGTGATCAATATATTATCACATTTATAAACGTATACTCTATGGATTTGCTCACAGTTAACAATTAGTATGAAAATATTCGCCCTTTATGGCAAACTGATAGCTCTCACACCCCCATTATGGGTTGAGTAAATAATCTGGTAATCACAAGATATGTACATCAATTGCATGAGGTATGGTTTATACCTGATAGGTATAACACAGGTAAGCTTTTGATTATCGTGCGTCGCATTCTATATATTTGATCTCTTTCTGTTATCCAACTCACACCGGTGACTCCCGAAATTAGATGTTCGCACAAGTGTACACACCATGGCATGTCACTTGATAGACAAAGCTCAATTGAGAGTAACTGTAACTAAAACCCGTTTTAAGAGGGTTTGCAGCGTGTACAGAAAGCTAGTTTTAGTGGGCATATGACATCTTGTCCTCGGTCATAAGGCTTAAAAATATGTCTGTCCAAGTGACATTATTGCATTATTGGATCCCTGGGTTACATTCACTTCCATCAAATATCAATCAAGTTCCAGTAACCTTGGCCTAACAAACTGTTGCTAAGATTTCCGCATTTGATTTTATGGTGTTGCGTTGGAAAAAAGCAATGAGAGTTTTGTTTTGAGGGGGGCTCTGGATCTCTCGTGCGGAATTTTCGACAAACTTTATGATCTACTTTTTTTTATTACACACATTTGTGTGATGAACAGCAGACGGAGTGAACCCTATAGTCACGAAGACCTGCTTCTCCTCTTGGAAACCGATAACCTAAGCCACGGGACTTGGATTGGCGAACCATATAAGGCCCCGATAGGTTAGGTGTGATATTGAACTAAAGTAAAGTGATTACAGCAAACCAAAAACGTTAGCCACAGATGTACGTTCCACAATATCCAAAAGCAGTGAGTAAATTTTTCGCCATCTTCATGAAGATCAACAGTATAGCACTTATCAACATTTGTAACTCTCTCCCCTGTGCAAATGGATCACCAGAAATCATGAAACATGTGCACGAAACACGGAGCGAATAATAAGCAACCATTTATGTGCAAAGAATTTTCATCACGAAAACAATTTTTAGCATGTTTCGTCATGAGTAGAGCGAATTTCAGTTATTACACAGCATTCGCTATTCTGTCGCAAGCGTTCAGTTTGATAACTTGTTTGGGAACCAGAAATCACCAATGGGTCAATGGACTCACATGTTTCAACAACAGAATCAATGTTTAGACTGCACAAATAAACAAATAAATTCTTTCCCACAAATACCAAGCACTCAAACTGAAAATAAGCAATTGTTATACGGCATGTATCGATATAGGGGGAGAAATTCAGGGCTTACTCAGAGCAAGTCAATAAATCCTCCTCCGAGGAGCGTACATTGAACAAAAGAGTGCCTTTGATGAAAACGTAGAAAACAGGCAAAACATTCGATTACTTACAAAAAATAAATATTTGCATAAATTCCATTCAAATACTTATATATATATATAAATATTTATATATGTCATCTATAACCAAAAGCCACACTACCGTCAAAAACTTACCCTTTTATATCCATTTCACTACGTCCAGATGAGTTTTGCACACCACATTCCGTCCAACGATCGTGGTGGTTATGGTTACCATTTTGTGCCCTCAGGGGCAAACGAAGTAGTTATCCGTCTCAGGCGGAAAAGTCATTTTCGATCTGACAACCGATCGCTCATATGTGGTGACATACAAAACAGATCAATGGAGGACAAATAGTGACCCGGTAGAACAATGAACTTTTCCACAGTTTTTGTATCTTTTGTTCCAAAACTGTAGGATGGAATTAATGAGTGTGTTCAGTGGCTTCTACTACCAGGAACGCTTTTTGTGTTTGCACGTAAGTGTATGTGAAACTGCCAGTGTAAATAGGGAAAGAACATGGTGCATTTCATCCAAAGACGCTAACTGCCCTTGTGGCAGTCGATTCATCAATCACTAATATAAACATTGGGATTTAGTTGTTTTTAAAAGAATCCCTATTTTGACCATTTATTCATCAAGTTACCATTGTTCGATCGGGCTGTATCATCTATGACCTGATTGATCCCCCAGCCCTCGTCCCACGCAACGTACTGTGTCATGGAATGAATAGTGTTCACAAATCAAACAAACAAGCAGCTGCTTCATTCGATCGTATGACCAATATAATTNAACCTCATGTACGGGGTGGTTTGAGTGAGCACTCTGATTCCATTGTTAATTCATTCGGGATCAGTGTATAAGTAATGGGATTAAACTGAGGCAGTTCGTGGACTCACTGATACACCCCCTTGATACACCACCGAAATTGCGTTCGTGGCCATTAGCTTCATGATACCCTACAAGTATTTGCCTCGTCGATTTTAGGAAAAATGCTGTAGGGTAGAAAGTATTCACATCGATGAATAATGGCATAAGTGGAAAGCGAGGAAATCTATTTTCATGTATATATATATAAAGATATATATATAATGCTCTGGTGCCGTTCTTCATTGTTGTAAGGAAACTTGTAAATGATGTTTCTGCGTCAATCCTGGGTCGTCTGTCAACCATATTTTGAGCTGTTCATGTTCTATTTGTGTCGCTTCTAGTTCGCGATCCTCATTTGGCGCGATGGATTTACGCACTGCTGATCAAATCTAACTAGGTTGAAACAGCCGTGCACTGATTCTTAGATTTTAGTTCACCATTTATTTACTCTGTACCCGACGAAATTAGTCGGATGAGGAAACTTGACTTCACTGTAACCTCCATCGCTGCTCTTTGATTTTTCTTTACTGAAGATTCAAAAGACAGAAAAACGGAAGGGTTCCGGCTTCCGAACAAAGGAATTTACGGAAAGTGCAGGTAATTTTCAGTGATTACGGAAAATGAGTTCATTGTATATTTAGAAATAATTTTCCATTTGAACTTAAGGGTGGATGGATTGGTCGAGATAAATCATTTACTAATGAACGCATTGATATTTTTTGATGTTATCACCAGACGAATTTTCAATTGAAAACATATCCTCAAATCTATGGGATCAGTGATTCCCATTTTAGCCCACCTATACTGGTAAACAGTGTGATTTATACTGACTACCACTTTTGAATAGGTAATACCATTCTTTACTCAAATTTCCCAGTTTATTCAGTGGAAGCGCACTGCTCAGAGTCTATGGTTCAAATCCTGAATGTACCGCAACATACGCACCACTGATAAACAATAACTTAACTGCGTCTCTGATTTATGATCCTTCCTGAGTGTTTTTGACTATAAGAAATACCCATTGGGCGTGAAAATAAAGCCTGGTGAGTCCAAATCAAAAATAAAATCACTGATCGTTCCATAACCTATTATGAACTGTTGTGGTAGGATTAGGTAGAACGTGGTCAAAAACATGGTCATCAAATTGAATTCTGTGCGAATGGTATACTCTGTGATATGCATTTGCCAAAATACCTCCGTTTACTAAAT